TGACCTACAAAGTGCTGTGAGAAGATAGAGGTTAAGCAAGGCTGTGGCATACAGGGCAGAGGCTGAGTGTAATTGCCATGCCTCCCTGTAATTCTTTTCTCAAGCAGGTGCCTCTATTTCTAGCACATTGCCCATTCTGAGCTTTGGTTCCCCATTTTCCTTATTGTTGTTGTTATTATAAAACTTGAGTAAAATTCATATAATAAAATGAATCAATTTAGGGGCTGATGTTGTGGTGCAGTGGGCTGAGCTGCTGCCTGCAATGTCAGCATCCCATATCAGAGTGCCAGTGAGAGTCCCAGCTGCTCCATTTCTGATCCAGCTCCATTCTAATGTGCCTGGGAAAGAGTGGAAGATGGCTTAAATACGTGGGGCCTCTGCCACCCATGTGGTAGACCCATATGGAGTTCTAGGCGCCTGGCTCTGGCCTGGCCAAGCCCAGCCCAGCCCTGGCTCTTGTGACCATGTGGGGAGTTAACCAGCTGATGGAATATCTCTTTTTCTCTATCTCTTATTCTCTCTCTGTCACTCTGCTTTTCAAATAAATATAATCTTAAAAAAATTAGCCAATTTAAACTAAACAATTTGGTGGTATTTAGTTCATTCACAATGATATACAACTACCAGCTCTACTGGTTTCCTTTTAAAAACAAAAACATTTATTTATTTGAAAGGCAGAGTTAGAGACAGACAGACAGACAGACAGATGATTTCCTTCTACTGGTTCACTCCCCAAGTAGCTGCAATGGTCAGGGCTGGGCCAGGCCAAAGTCAGGAGCTTCATCTGGGTCTCGCACGTGGGTGCAGGGGCCCAAGGACTTGGGCTATCTGCTGCTGCTTTCCCAGGTGCACTAGCAGGGAGCTGGATCAGAAGTGGAGCAGCTGGGACTTGAACCGGCACCCATATGGGATGCCAGCACTACAGACAATGGCTTAACTTGCTGCATTACAGCATCGGCCCCTCTGGCTTTAAAACATTTTCATTATCTATACAGAAAATCTCATAACTGTTAAGAAATTGCTATCTATTCCTTTCTCTTTGTAGGCCCTGGTAACCACCAATCTGTGTTCTGTCTCGATGGATTTATCTATTTATGATCTTTCCCATAAATGAAAACATACCACAGGTGGCCTTTTGTGTCCAGCTTCTACTTAGCATAATGTTTGATGTTTACCTGTGTTACAGCATGGATCCATACCCCATTCCTTTTTATGGATGAATAATTGTCCATTTGTGAACACAGCATGTTTGTTTATCCATTCATCTATGTATGAGTATTTGGGCCATTGCCATCTTCGGCAGTTGTGGATAGTGGTGCTGTGAACATGTTTGTACGGATACATACGGGAGTCATCTGACTTCAGTTCTGTTGTGTATATCCTGGTTACTTATTTTAATGACTCTGTCCTTTGTTTTTTTACCAAAGAGGCACCTTGACAGAGTGGTGACACACAAGGATTGTAGTGCCAGGCTCTCTCCTTTGTTACTTACTAGTTGAACAATACTGGTCAAGGGACCTGTCCTCTTTGTCTCTTTCTTCTCCCCTCTGTAAAATGGAGCCCACAAACATGATGGTCCCTACTTTAGAGGTGGCTTGTGATGATAAAATGGATATCTGTGCAGCACACCATCTGTGTTTCAAGAACTTAGAAGTCACTATGATCTCCTTTCAGTACTTCCTGGAATTTCCTTTTTAAACTCCTGTTTGTTTTTAGGATCTCTCATCTGTTTCTTGTAGCACCTGGTGGCTGCAGTTGCTTCCTGGGCAAGATGGTTAAGCTCCTGGAGTTTCCTTTTAACACAGAGTTTTTGAACCCCAGAGGGTTAGCATCTGAAACCGGAAGCAGACGTCAGTCAGTTGATTTTCGGGAACTCTGAGTGCATTCCCTCTGACCAGCAAGGGTCTAACTCATCCTCTTCCTCCCCTCCACAGCCTCCCTGCTTCTGTGTGCAGTGTATTTCCAGGTCCCATATGGCCCTGTGTTGTTCCTGCTCAAGACTTACAATGGCCTCCTGTTGTCCATTATGCTAAGACACCACCTCTAAATACTATGAAATAGGTAGCCCTCTCCACATTTTATTCCCGTGTATTTGTTTGTAAAGGAATGAGGAAATATCACCTCTTTTTTATGGAGGAGGAATCTTAGACTCAGAGGTATAAGAGAGTTGTCACGAGTCGTGAGCAACAGAATTGCAGAGCTCAGATCTGAACATGTAGCCAGATCCAGGAGTGCCTGCTCTTTCTAACTTGCACACTGACACCCTCCTCTGACCTCCTGGTACCAAACCCAGCCGATTTTCCTTGGTCCGTGCTCATCTGCTTTGTACTAACCAGTGAGTTCTCATCATGCTCAGAGCGCCTGCCAGGACGGTTCTAGCCCAGCTCTTCACCACAGCAGTTCTGCTTGTCTGGAATACCACCCTGCTTCTCTCCTATTCCAGCCCTACCACCTGGCAGGCCCAATTCAAAGCCCTCTTCCTCCGCTAAAGCTTCCCACTGAGCTTTTCAATCAAGACCTTGTTCTTCATTTCTAAATCTCCTATCATTGTGGAAGTTAATGTTCTCTGGGCCTCAGCTAACACAAGCAGTGTCTGTACGAATTACAAGAAGGCATTCATTTCCTCTGGTTGACAAATTGTAAGAAAATATCCCCTGTCATCCTCTCAGTGGGGCAATTTTGTGTAGGGTGCTTATTGGGTAACTGATCTTGGCCAACTTCCTTATCAGGCTGTTTAAAGTATCATTGTTTTGGGTGGATAACATCCCCAAGTCACATAGGATGCAAGGGTTCCGGGCTCATTTGCTGTCTTCCCAAACTGCATTTTTAGCTTCTGGAGGGTAGAAGCCAGGATTTGTTCTTTAGGTTCCCCATTTTGCCTGGTCCACAGCCAGGTGCCAAATTTCTAGTGTCCAGCAAATGAAGTGACTTACAAGTGTTGTATTAGCCCTTGATTGAGAAAGGACCCAGGAAAACTCATAAGAGCTGAATGATGTCTGTGGGTGACCTCAGCCACACCGACCACTTCACTAGTTTGGATCCACCCTCCCCACCCTCCACCCCTTGCTTTTAGGTTGTTCCTCTCTGGAATGCCTGCCCCTCCCCTCTCTGCCAGACCTTGCTTTGAGCTTATCAACTCAAATGCCACTCCTCAGGGAAGCCCCTACTGGAACCAGTTCCTTCCTTCCTTCCTTCCTTCCTTCCTTCCTTCCTTCCTTCCTTCTTTCCTTACTTCCTCCCTTCCTTCTTCTCTAAAAAGATTTATTTATTTATTTGAAAGGCAGAGTTACAGAGAGAGGAGAGACCAGAGAGAGAGAGAAAGAGATCGTCCATCCACTGGTTCACTCCCCAAAAGGCTGTAATGGTCAGGGCTGGGCCAGGCCGAGGTCAAGAGTCAGGAGCTTCGTGTGGGTCTTCCATGTGGGTGCAGGAACCTAAGTACTTGGACTATCTTCTACTTTCCCAGACACATTAGCAGGGAGTTTGATAGGAACTGGAACAGCCGGGACTTGAACTGGTGCCCATATGTGGCAGCTTAACCTAAACCATGATGTCTCTGGAAGCAGCTTCTCCCTTCTACAGTTCCCTGGGGAGTAAACCAGTGGATGGAAGATCGATCTATTTCAAATAAATAAAAATAATAGATAAATAACTTAAAGGGACTGGTGCTGTGGCGCAGCAGGTTAACGCCCCAGCCTGAAGTGCCGGCATCCCGTATGGGCACTGGTTCGAGTCTCGGCTGCTCCACTTCCAATCCAGCCCTCTGCTATGGCTTGGGAAAGCAGTAGAAGATGGCCCAAGTCCTTGTGCCCCTGCACCCACTTGGGAGACCCAGAAGAAGCTCCTGGCTCCTGGCCTCAGATCGGCGCAGCTCTGGCCGTTGTGGCCATCTTGGGAGTGAACCATCGGATGAAAGACCTCTCCCTTGCAACCCACAATTCATGATCTTAAAAGTATTTCCTAAAATGCAGCTCAAGTTTTCATCTCTACAATCTGTGGGGATCAGGGAACTGTACAGCACAATATATTGGGCCACAGGTCCCCTTTCACACTGAGTTCTTTGAGAACTGGGTTTGTACCAGGCACACAGTAGGCGCCCTGTCGCTGACTGTGGCATCAGTGTCCACCAGGGCCCCTAATTGTGCACATTCTCTGTGGTGCAGCAGAAGCATTTGCACCCTGCTGTTAGTGCCAATCGACATTTGTTTAACACTTTCCCCAAGGTTTTTCTCACCTCTTCTCTGGCTTGTTTTCACAACCTTTTCAGATAGGAGGAGCAAGTGATGTATCCGTTTCACTCACGAGGCACCTTAAGTCCAGGAGGCAGAAACATCTCATTGTCTGTGGATGGGGTAAGGCTGCCATTCACTTGGGTGACCGCTGGGGTGCAGTGATGGCTTGGTTCTAGCTCCATCTTCTCCTGCTCTTGCCTGAGGTTTCCATTCACCATTCTTGGGATTCCATGAGTCTCAGCCCCAAGGTCAAGAGGCTGCAATGGGCTGAGGGTTGCGAATCCTCGCTGGCTCTGGAAATCCTACTAGTGTATCTCACTGGATTTATGCTTCAGAACTTAGCATCCTTGGCCCCTAAAGGAATTGTTCTTTTCTTTCATCAACTCTTCATTCTACTTTTTTATTTGTATATCTCTTAAAGGACCAGGAAGCCTCTCAATATTTGCAAAAGTTTGGCAAATGTCTTATTATGGAATGATGAGTTTCTGCCATGGCTGGCATTAGATTTACCCGGAGAACTTTTAGAATGGCAAATGCCAGCCAGGTACTTTTATAAGTTCCCCAGGTGATTCAAATGGGCAGCTGCCATTGCAGATGGTAGGATAGAATCACCCTGGCTTTCAATAGAAACTTTCATTAAATTGGTCTTGGGTTGGGAACCATTGGCAGGATTCTAGTACCTTGGATTCCATCTTACTCCATTTAAACTGTTACAACAAAACATCATAAATTAGGTGCTTTATGAACAACAGAAGCCTTTATTCTTACCGTTTTAGAGGTGGGAAGGTCCAAGATGAAGGCTGATTCAGTATCTGGTGAAGGCCTACTTCCTGGATTATAGCTATTACCTTCTCACTGCGTCTTTACGTGGGGGAAGAAAATGGGTCACTTTTAGAAGGAATCAAATTCTATTCATGGGGGCCCTACCATCCATGACCTAATCAACCCCCATCTTTTAGCACCATCTTCTTGGGGGTTAGGACTCCAATGTATGAATATGTGGGTGGGGGACACACATTCTGAGCATAGCAGAATTGGACTACATGACTGACGTCACAATGGGAAGAGCCTCCCAATCTGGGTCAGCTAAGAGCATGTTCACCTGTGATTACTCTAGCATCAGCTTTTGCTACAGCTTGCTGGCTCTGATTCTTGCCAGCCATGTGGCCTTGAATAAATACCTTTGCCTCTCTGTCAACTTAATTATCAATAAAATAAAACCAGGAACTAATTGTAGAACTGCTAGAAGCACTAAGTACAATAATGCATTAAAATATATGCAAAAGAACCCAATACTGCGTGGCACCTACTTGGTACACAGAGAAGCTCAACAACTCCAAATTGAAAAGAACCAAATCCTGTCCTCTGTTCCATGGGGAAATTGTATTAAGATTTATTTATTTATTTGAAAGTCAGAATTACACAAAGAAGAGAGGCAGAGAGGGAGAGAGGTCCTCCATCCGATGGTTCACTCCTAAGATGGCCACAACGGCCAGAGCTGCGCCGATCTGAGGCCAGGAGCCAGGAGCTTCTTCTGGGTCTCCCAAGCAGGTGCAGAGGCACAAGGACTTGGGCCATCTTCTACTGCTTTCCCAGGCCATAGCAGAGAGCTGGATTGGAAGTGGAGCAGCTGAGACTTGAACCAGTGCTCATACAGGATGCCGGCACTTCAGGCCAAGATGTTAACCTGCTGCGCCACAGCGCCAGTCCCTTTATTTATCTATTATTTTTATTTATTTGAAATAGATCGATCTTCCATCCACTGGTTTATTCCCCAAATGGCTGCAACAGCCAGGGCTGGGTCAAGCTGAAGACAAGAGTCAGGAACTCCATCCAGGTCCCCTTTGTGGATGGCAGGAACTCAAGTACTTGTGCTATCATCCACTGCTTCCCAGGACATTAGCAGGGAGCTGGATCAGGAGCAGACTAGCCAGGAATCCAATCAATACTCTGATGTCAGATGTAGCATCCCAAGTGATAGCTTACCCCACTACATCATGCCTTCCCCAGAATTTTTTTGAATACCTATAATATACAAATAATTATTATGTGATTTCTTTCTTTCTGTGCATAGGAGGGACAGAGACAGAGATGAATGGGGATCATCTTTGCCTTCAGGAAAGTTCCAATTGGCATGTACAGACAGGAAAATATAGAACCACGTGACATTCTTATATATTATGCATATTTCTAGTATAGAAAACATTGAGGTGCATGTTAATCATAGATACAATCAACACGCTGAATGAGCTTGGATGGAAAAGTTCTCCCAAGCATGCCTGGGGAGATTAAAGAAACCAGGGGTGGTGTTTGAATTGGCTCTCTTTAAAGGTATGTAGCATGAGGGTACTCATAAACTTTGTGGAAATTAGAATTAAAAGATAAGATCCTTTTGGTGTAAATAGAATAAAAAGATAATAGAATTAGAAACTTGAATATAGATAGAATTAAAATAGAATTTTAATTTTTGTGGAAAATAGAATTAAAAGATAAGTTCCTTTTGGTGTAAAAAATTTGGAACTTCATGGGTAGTTTTTTCATAATATGCATTTCTATGAAATTATTGAAGTACCCATTTCCATGGTGAGAAAGAACCAGAAAGAGTGTTCTTGGCTGAGCGCTGACATGGACTGAGACTGGGCCTCTGGAAATTTGAAGGCATGTTGGCACAACAGCAGAGCAGGAGTGGTTTCCTCCCAAAGTACTGCAACGTGGGGTTGTGAACCTCTGCCGAGGACCCATTAAGGACGGTTCTGGTTGCTTTGCTAAGGGTTTGGAACCTTTAATCTGGGAACAACTGGGTACTATTGAAGGTTTGAGTCTTGGCAGATGTGCTGTGGTTGGAGGTTTTGGTTCATTGCTCCTAGTGATTGGATGAGAGTGGGTTGGCAGTGTCTGGGTTATGACTTTGCTTCCCTTCTTCTCCATCCTGGGCCATGGCCAAGACCTTGGACACCCTGTGACGAGCAGCTCAGGCAGTTCCCCTTGGGTCCTGTTTCCAAGTGCTGTCCTCTTGTGCATTGCCCCTGGAATCTGCTTCTCTACCAAGTCAGTTTGGAGCACTGCACCTTTGGATTTTCAGCTTAGCTTTACGTGTTGGTCTCACCCCTGGAAAGTGTTTCAGTTGTCTTCTACACACTCCCCAGCCTTGGTTAAACTTCCTACACCACAACTCAGGGGGAACTCAAGTTTCTGTTCTATGAGAGCTGTTTGGGTATTTTTGGACTCTTGGCCAAGAGTGTTTTACTTATGTAAAGACTGTAGGCTGGAGGATACAGCTGCAGTCCAGGCCCAACACAGGGCTTCAGGGCTGCAGGGGGAGGGGCGTGTGAGTTGCCTATGACTATTAATTATGAACCCAGCTCATCTTTCTGATTTTGTGGTCTTCTGACTCACAGCTTGTTCATAACAGCCTATGGTCTTGGGTACTCTGCCATCAGAGTGTTTAAAAGTGATGACACGGGGTGGGTTTTAGAAGTCTGTTGCCAAGCCATTATTTCAAATACTAATGCTTCTTTAATTTTAAGAGAGATTTTTAATTCAGACTCTGGGTCCATTAACTTCAGGTTTGAGGAGGGGAATGGGGACAGAGGAACATTCTGAGACCACTCAAAGTTGTTACTGTGCATTGGCATCAGGATGTGAGTCTGCAGTTGAATGCCTGTTAGGTAATGCTGGCCTCTGGGCTTCCGTGGAAACATGTCAGAGGTGAGCTCTCTTTTGGGGAAGCCCTGTAGACAAAGATGAGGTCCTCCAACTTTGCATGCTGGAATTGTCTGCAGATTTTTACACAACCCTGAATCCTGGCTGTGCCTTCCAGACATCCCGATCTAAGGGCCACTTGTGCAGTAACAACCTGGGCACTGGGTTTTTTTAAAACTTTCCAGTAGGTTCTCTGTTTAAATGATTATTTATTGAGACATGCTTGACAAAGGAAATGTATGTATTTATATTTACACTTTGATAAGTTTGAAGATAAGTATATAAGATAAGTGAAATCATCACCATAAATCATGCCAAAAACTTAGCCATCACCTCTAAAAGTTCCCTCTTCCTTCTTTTTCTATGGTATGAAAATTTAACGTAGGGTCTATTCTGTTATTTTTCAAATATACTGTTTTTCAGTATATGATATAATACTATGAACTAAAGGCATTAAACTGAATAGTAGGAATTATTCACCTTGTGTCATAGAAACTAAGTGCATTGTGACCAGTACCTTCCCAACTTCCCCACCCCCAGCTCTGAGTAATCACCATTCTATCCTCTGTTCCAATGAGTGGAACTATTTTAGATGGCAAATATAAGTGAGAGCATAGTGTATTTGTTATTCTGTTTCCGGCTTATTTAGTGCTCCTACAACTCAATAGTAAAAAAACAAATGAGCCTATTAAAAACAGGTAAAAGACTTGAATAGTCATTTCTCAGAGAAGACACAGAAGTAGCTCACAAGTGTATGAAAAGATGCTCAATATCATTCATCATCAGGGAAGTACAAATAAAAATACTCCTTGAGATATCACCTCATACCTGTTAGGATGGCCATTGTGATCGGATTGTTGTTTTCGCGCTTGTTTATACTCCTGTAAAACTGTGGTCTTCCTACTTTTTACTTGTTAAATATTATGGTTAGTGGTTCATTAAGCCTGTGATTACAGAGTGGAGTGAAATTATATTTTGCAAAAATGAAGATAAAGAAGGAAGGAAGGAGACTGAGGGAAGGAGAGAACACTATGGTTATCTTCTTAGAATTGTACCTATGAAATATATGAAATTTCTTCTCTATATATTAATCAAACTTTTAAAACTGTACAAAAACAAAAGATAAGTTTTGGAGATGAGGGGACCCATTGTGTGCTATGGGTGGGAATGTAAATTGTCACAGTCACTATGGAAAACAGTCTGGAGGTTCCTCAAAAATAAAAAAACCACAACTCTAGGATCCAGAAATCTCACTTTTGGGTATATATCCAAAAGAATCAAAACCAGTATCATCATGAAGAGATATCTGCCTTCCCATGTTCACTGCCACATTATTTATAACAGCAGAGACATGAAAAAAAATGAATGTCCACTGACAGATTAATGGATAAAGAAAATGCAGTATATACATACAGTGGAATGTTATTCAGCCTTAGAAAAAGAAGGAAATCCTTTCATCTTCTAAAACGTGGATAAACTTGGAGGATATTATACTAAGGAGACTTTAATGTGTAGCAACATTTGGGAACCCCTAGAGTAGGAAGTGCTGGGAATGGACATTGGGCGTACACTGGTTCTCACACCTGACTGTGCATGAGAGTCACCTAGGGACTGATTAACCCACAGAGGGCTGAGTCACTAGGTCTGCCATGGGGCCTGAGAACATGCATTTCTAATCAGTTCCCAAATGACATGAATGATTGGGGCCACACTTTGAAAACCACTGGCTTAGAAAAATTGGGGTGTGACTTCCCTACCAATCATGTGTCCTTGACTTAATCACCTGATCTTTACAAAGCCCACTCTCTACATTTATACACAGTGAAATGAGATGATGTTTGCTAATGGTTCGGCCCAGGCCCTGGGCCACAGGGAAAATACAAGCCATGATGGATTTTATTAGTATGATTCTTCTCTGCTGGGGTCTTGGCAGGTCTTTCCTTATGTTCAATTGTGCCAGTCCCTGTGTGACATGAAGGAGAGTTTCTGCTCCTGGATGTCCCACTTTCAGACTTCCTGGAATAGGAACCCTTCAAGTATTCTGAGTTCTGGTAGGAAAGGCTCACCCACACTCTTCACCCTGGTGTGGGTGGTATAGTCTGAGACTGATGGCCACCCTCCTGCCCAGATACCAAGTTACTCTCCCACCATCCTCCACTGCAGTCCAGACATATTCAGTGTGGTGAGCTGTGCTTGTCCCAGCATCACCATGGAAACCAAACTGCTACCCAGGGAGATGGGAACAAGGCCCTGAAAGACTCTGGAAACGACAGAATGTTTCCTGAAGGGGGGCTGTGGGTTTCTCTTCTCATTCAGTTTGCCCAGAACCCGTGTGTGTGTGTGTGTGTGTTTGTGTGTGTGTGTGTGTTCATTCCTTCCTCCTTGATTTTGCAAGGGAGGGAACTGAGGCTCCGCATGTGTTGCCCACAGGTTGTAGAGGTTCTCTCTAGGGAGGTCTCTAGGGGCGTACGTGTGAGCCTGAGCCCTCACGGGTAAAACCAGCCTGCAGGCATGCATCCTGCTTTGCATCCTGACTACCCAGAGGTGGCAAAGTATACCGTGGTGGTGTTTCTGCTCCTTCATTCCTTCTCGAGGCCATGACCTAGGGGCCTTTTGTTACTTCAAACCAACAACTTCTTCCTCTTGGTCTTTGGAGAGGGACCAATCTGGTGAATCTTTATTAGTTCCATGAAGTATAAGGGCAAAGGCCTATGTTTCCATTTTGTAGTTGGGGAAGCCGGGTGGGTGTGGAGAAGGGGCATATAGGACTGGACTGGAAGGTGGGGTGCAGAGGCCAGTCTGTTTCAAGTTTGTACTTGGTTAAGGTGAATTTGTGCCCATGCCCAAGGACCCCAGGAGTGAGAGCCTGGGATTTCCTTTGTTCTCCTTGGACTGAAGAAGTAGTGAGAGAAGTAGGTGGGGAATGATATAGCGGGAAGGACACCAGAAGTCATCTTGTCCAAACCATTAATAGATGAGATCTGAGCCCTAGAGGGGGAGTTGACTTGCCCAAAGTCACAGAGGATGCTGCTTCAACAAAAAGGCCCCAACCCCCAGTTCCCTGCCTGCCCTCCTCACCTGTTCTCCTTCCTGTCCTCCTTGCCATACCTCGGGCATGTACCTTGGGCTCTCTGCCGGGCATCTGTTGCTGTTGTTGGGTATTAATCTGGTGTCCCTCTTGTGATTGATGCTAACCACCCCCTTCCCCTTGTAGAAAGAGGTGTGGTATGGTTCAGGGAGAACAGTATTGGGTAGGCCACACTTAAGGCTCCTTAGGCACCACTTACTGAACAGTCCATGTAGGTGTTGTACTGGTTGCTTTAAGTCACTATCCAGAGATACTTCAAAACATCTTAGAAAAAATGGAGTTAAAATACACACTGATTTGGGTGCCAAAAATTTTGAAAGTAGTGCATACCTGGGCTCCTCAAAAAGTTCATGGGCAATGCATATTACACAAAAATCGGCATGGATTTCAACAATGTTTTTGGGCCAAAATAAATCTACTTTTTCTATTTTCTATGAACTTTTGAAATGCCCTCGTGTAGCGTTTAAGCGCCATAACTCATGGAGGCAGTCACTAGCATCCCCAATGTGCAGATCAGAGAAGTAAGGCAACTTGTCTAGGGTCACACAGCATACGAGTGGCATAATGAAATTGATTTGCCAGCCACAGGCTTCAGTCATTGTGCTGTGTCATTGCCTTGCACTGCAGGCGAGGGAAGACTTTGACTCAGGATGCTGCAAGGCCCCCGCGGATTGCCACCTGCCTGCCCTAAGCATGTTAATGTTTGTTTTAGCTTGAAAAACCTGATTGCTCAGAAATAGGTTTATGTGGCATAATAGCTAAGGCTGTCGTACAGCTCGCATCGATGCAAAAAAGTGAAGAAGAAAATCCAGTGAGCGTATTATTTCAGCTATGGAATAACTAGGTATTTGTTTCACTGTCTGTTGACCTCGCTACGTTTCTCAACGTGCCCACAGACATTTGCGTTCGCGCAGATTCCGCACGCTGCGCTGTCCCTCCTTCTGGGGATTGTGACAGGAAGCAGAGATGAAAGCTATTTTTAATTTGGCCTCTGAACGAACATCCAAGTCTTCCCTTCCAGCCTCTAAGCCTGTGTTTTCTCGACAGGATATTAATTACCTGGCTCTGGGTATGGCCAGGCGGGTTGTTCTGGCAGCCCCGGCTGCCTCATTGGCTCTATGTGATTGCTTATGGACCCAGCAGGACTCAGAGACTTCAGCAGGGAGCCTCCTCCTCCTCAACAAACTCAGACGTGGGTCCTGGGTAACTTGTTAAACACATTTATTGATTTTTTTTTTTGACAGTAACCAAACACAGTGAGTGACCATTATAAACAAGAGAAGAAAGGCATTCTTTGTAGTTTGTGAGATCTGGCTGCACCTGGAGAGAACGGACACCCCTTTCCCAGGAATTTACAAGGCAAAGTGCATTCCTTCGGGGAGCATCACAGGGGGTGGCAGTTTCGAAACGCAAGAAATCTGTCGCCTGCTAGCTCAGGCTGAAGCTCACCTCGTATGAATGATCGAGCCATGGAGTGGAGTTAAAGTTATGCTTGCTTAGCAAATGCATTCCTGATTGCCACAAACTCAGTAGAAAGTGGACTGCAAATGAACAAGACAGGAAGATGAAGAAACAAGTGAAATCGAAGAATGCAGTTGTAGGGAGTCAGGGCTCAGCCTGGAAGGAAGGAGAAGAGACCAAAGCCAGAAAAATGAAATCAACTCGTTAAACACATTTATTGAGCTGTTAACAGTAATCAAACACAATGTATGACCTTTGGAAAACAAGAAACAGCAAATGGATCAATTCTCGGCTTGGCAAATCCTACTACAGATACGTGACAAAGAGGGAAATAATTCCATTTCTTTATAGTCTGCGGTGATATATATACACAATGTGTAGCTCTTCAATGTCTGTCCATTTTTTTTTAAATTGTTGAGTAAACGGAAGAATCATAATCTAGAAATAAGTGTTCTTGGTCAGCTTTGCCCTGGCTCACCTGTCACCAGCACCCTCAAAGGATCCTAGGACACTATCCAAGAGAATTTGACACAAAGTCCACTTGGTGCTGTTGGAGCCGTGTTCTCCTCTCTCGCGTTTGGAAGAATTTTGTATGTACAAAGGCTGAAAAGTCTCATTGGGTAGATGTATTAGTTCAGGAAAACAGTATCAAAATTGTCATCAGGTTAACTGGTTATTTTCTTCTAAGACGTCTTATGAATGAGCCTTTTCTTTCTGAAACTTGGCTTCCCATCATGGAGGCTGGATGATGTGTGTGTGTGTATGTGTGTGTGTAGTTATGTTGGTGTGTGTGTGTGTGTGTGTGTGTGTGTGTGTGTGACAGTGCATGTGTGAGAGATGCATTCCTCTGCCATGGTTTTGCAGACACTTTTCACGAAGAGAGGGCCAATCCAAAGAGTGAATGAGGCTTGGGGGAAGGAAGGAGAGAGAAGAGAGAAGGGGAACATTCTGGGTTACATCAATTCACAGTTGTAGCATTTCACTGAGGTGGATTCCTCTTGGCTTAGTTCCCTACTTGAGGAGCCATTCATTTACTGAAAGAGAAAAACAGACACACGTACAAAACAAAACAAGGCACCACAGAATTAATATGCAGTTTTGGGGGGCTTTCTCCAAAGGGGAAGGTACTGTTTTATTAATGCCTGCTTATTTATATGCATCCCAGCTACCCCTTCCCCACAACCATCTAGGCCTGTCCAGTGGGCTAGCCACTGGTCCATTTAAATGGATTAAAATTAAGAAAATGTTCGTATCCTCCTAGTCTCATTTTTGAATGCTCAGCTACCATATGGCTAATTGCTGCTGCACTGGACATGGAGATATGGAACATTTTCTTTCCTTTTTTATAATATTTTATTTTTATTATTTTTTTATTTTTTGACAGGCAGAGTGGACAGTGAGAGAGAGAGAAAGGTCTTCCTTTGCCGTTGGTTCACCCTCCAATGGCCACCACTGCCGGTGCACTGCGGCCGGCACACTGCGCTGATCCGAAGGCAGGAGCCAGGTGCTTCTCCTGGTCTCCCATGGGGTGCAGGGCCCAAGCACTTGGGCCATCCTCCACTGCACTCCCTGGCCACAGCAGAGAGCTGGCCTGGAAGAGGGGCAACCGGGACAGAATCCGGCGCCCTGACCAGGACTAGAACCCCGTGTGCCGGCGCCGCAAGGTGGAGGATTAGCCTAGTGAGCCACGGCGCTGGCCGAGATATAGAACATTTTCCTCATCTCAGGAAGTTCTTTTAGATGGCTTTTCTCTAGACAGCGATGGGCAAACTGCAGTCACAGTCAAAATCCTGCACACTACTGTTTTTTTTAAAAAGGTTTATATATGTATGTATGTATGTATGTATGTATACATGTATTTGAAGGGCAGAGTTACATGGAGAGAGGGTGTAACAGAGAAATCTTAAATCTGCTGGTTTACTCCTCACATGCCTGCAATGTCTGGGGTTGGGCCAAGCCAAAACCAGAGCCAGGAATTCCATCCAGATCTCCCACGTGGGCTGTGTTGCTATCTTCTGCTTTCCCAGACACATTAGCAGGGAGCTAGATAGGAAGTGCAGCAGCTGGGATTTGAACTGGCGCCTATATGGGGTGCTAGGTAGCAGGCAGCAGCTACTGTTTTTATAAAGCTGATACACAGCCATATGCTTCCATTTACATACTGTCCACATCTGATTATACACTATGACATCAGAGTACGACAGAGACTACAATGCTCATGAAACAAAAATAGTGACTCTGTCTGTCCCTTTATAGAAACAGTATGATGACTCCTGCTCCAGACTAAAATTCGGGGTGGGTAAGCTCCTATCTGCCCTCACCACCACTTGTCACCAGCTAAGTGCCTGGCAAACAGGTGTATAGCATGTAGGCAATGCATACAGAAAGGACAAATGAATGAGCCGGATGTTTGTCTAATAGCTGTGGCTGAAAGGGAGCAGAACATTTATGATTAGGGCCTTCTATGAATGGGGGAGAGAGAAGAGGGAGGGAGCAGGGGAGGAAGGATGAAAGTTGAAGCAGAGGGTTGGGGGCAACCCTGGTGGTCACTCCTAAAGCTCCCTAGCCATGACCACAGCCTCTGTGACTGGGGAGCACGTGACTGCTACAGAGAGCTTCCCCATCCACTTTCCATCTTATTTTCCTCTCACAACAGGCTATGAAGGGGATGGGACAGAGACTGTCACGAATCAACCAGGTCTGGAGGAGTAAATGGCTTGGCTGGGCTTTGCACAGCTCGTTAGAACCAGGCCTGGAACTCAGGTGTCCTGACTCTGAGTTCACAGCATCTCCAAGGCACTGTCTTGCCTCCATCTTCCTTTCCACACTGAGGGTTCACCACGATAATCAGCAGATATTAATTCAGTGTGTGGAAGGAAAGAGAGGGCGTGGTGTGGATCAGAGAGTACGGGAGGCAGAAGCCATCGAAGATTTCCCTTTTAGTAGTAATAACAGCCACGTCTAGGGACAGAGCACTGGACACAGTTCTGTTCACACACATTCCTCCCAGGGTCGTGATGGTCAGGCTACCAGAGGAGTTGCTCGTCTACTAGTGGAAAAGCGGTCTATCTTGTTATACACAATTAAAAGCTCTAATACTTTTTGCTGTCTTGTTCTTGGGAAAATCAGCCTTTCTTGGCTTGTCCATAGAATGGCAATAAAAAAGGGTCTTGTTGGATGGGAAGGGCTTAAAGGTCTGACATGTGAAACAGATGGATATCACATTTTTCAAGCAAGCCTTCTCCCCTTCATTTGTATGTGATAGATGGGCTTTCTCAATAAGGAGCACCATACACATGGAGGGTGGTGTTCTCATTGTCATTCGTAGCCATGATACCTACAATGGGACACCAGGCCTTCCAGAACAGGTCTGTGCAGAACGACTGAGCACTGACTTGTGTCCTCAGCTGTCTGGGCCACCACACCCACCTCTATACTGAAGCTTCTGGGCTCGGTTGTTGGGACAGTCCTTTCCCTGTAAACTGAAGTTGATGTTGGTGCGGATGCAGCGGTTGTTGAGTGGCTGGACGGGCCTGAAGTTGTCACTCATGCTCAGAAAGATCTGAGATGGCTGATTCTGGCTCAGTAGACGTAAGGAATGCATCTGAGGAGAGAGAAAGAGCCGTGAGAGACAACCATCCTCTCTTAAATGCACTAGGGAAGAAGACATGTGGGCTGTGGCCAAGTCAGGTGGTACTGGCTGTCTGGGAAAGGGAGTGAACACCCCTCTCCCCTAGAGCCTCTTTGTTCATGGGTCCAGTTGGGCTGAAGGTTCACTAATGCCTCCATACGTGGAGTGAGCCTTGTAACTGGTTCCCCTGCTCATCCAGGTCTCTGAACAAGTCCTTTACACTCTCTCACCCTCAAATGTGCCATCTATCAATGAAGCAAATCTGGCGACAGGGTTCCCGCTTTCTTTGACACTTTGTGTGTCAACAGTTCCAGGACTGTGACATGGGTATCCCTCAGACCATATTGATGGTTCCTGTGGTCAGAACTAAACCAAGCTGGAGCAATGCAATGCCTTTTCTGTGATGATAATGGCCACCTTCCATCACAGGACCATAAAGCAAAAAAGACAGTCTAGCAGTGGAGAAGCAAATGTGTAGCAAGAAGCAGAGAGCCAGGGCTTCTGGGTTCTGAGCCCAGTGAATTCTGACATCAGTTTCTAATCTTAGATTCCCTAAGTTACCTCAGTAACTCTAGAGCAAATCCTTTCTCTAACCTGAGTCTCAGTACAGATAGGACCAGGGACTTCAAAGTATTCAAATTGTTGTTGGGTCGTGAACATATATCCAGTCAAGGTGACTGGACTCTGCTTCCTTAGCTCATCTTTCCTTTCCATTTTTATAGACTCTCAGAATCATAGACCATCGGAGCCGGAACAGACTCATGTAATTCCCCACCACCCTCCACCATAAAGAGGAGGGGGATTCATTGTGTAGTGCGTGTGGCTGGCCTAATGTGCACAACAAGCTGTTCAGCAAAGCTGGCACAGGAGGGGCGGTCTGGTTACACCTAGCTCTGAGAAACAGACCATCATGGGGGTGAGCTGAAAGGTATTCCATGTGCAAATGTGTTTGTGGAATGGCACCTATCATGTTACCCCGTCTAAGTGATGAAAACATGAGTTATCATTTTAGGGGACCCTGAACAGTCCCTCCCTAATTAAATCTATGTAACTTTTTAAAATCCAGCTTTTTCAAACACACTGGACCATATCGTCCATTTTGCTTATTTGTGTTTTGATCTCCATGACTACAGCACAGACCCAGTGGGAACTAACCGGCTGTCTTATCTCAGATAGGTGAGGGGCTTCTATAATTAGTTCATGGCACACCTTCTCTGATGCCAGGGCTATGTTCTGGATCGAGTGCCCCCCACATTGTCATGAGCTGAAGCTGCTGACACCAAGACCTCATCCCTCAGAATGTGCACTTACTTGGAAACAGCATCACTGCAGGTGTAATTAGCTCAGGTAAGGTGATGTCACTGAGGCAGGCTCTAATTAAGTATGATTGATGTCCTTATAAAAAGGGGGTATTTGGACACAGGGAGAACACCATGCGAAGGAGAAGGCACAACCTGGGGAGGTGACACTTCTGCAAGCCACGAAAGTGAGGGGAGAGAGGCCTGGAACAGGTTATTCCCTATGTCCTGCAGAAAAAAAAATCAACCTTTCTCACACCTTGATCTTGGACTTCTGGCCCCCAGAACTGTGAGGCAATTGCTTCTGCTGCGTATGCCACCCTGTTTATGGCATTTCTGTACAGCAGTCCTTGTAAGTGGAAATGACAGGCACTCCACCAACCGGGCAGGCTTCCCACCATCTTCCCCACCAGTTAAAGGACTGCAGAGTGGCTCACCTGCATCCTGGTTATGTAGACAGGTTTGTTCATTATTATCCAACTTGCTGTCTCATAGCAGGGTGGGATAGTCATGGACCCATCATAAGTAATGAAACTAGAGGTCTCTGGATATAATTCCTCTATATTAAGTCCCTGTAGTAAATACGCATCATCTGGAAAAGAAAATAAAAACTATTTAAGAATGAGGTTTCTTGAGAAAGTGCTTGTATTGCTGATTTTTTTTTTGGTCCTTTCTGGATTCAAGGTGATTCTGTCAAGATAGTTTCAGTAACAAACAGCCCCCCCCCCCCCCGAAATTTCAATACTTTTTAACAACAAAGGCTTATTTCTTGCTCACAAACGTGGCTGAGGACTTCTCTCCAAATGTCACTGTTGACCATACTGTGGGACCAGCCTCCTGGAGTATCCACTGTTTGGACCTCTGTGATTGACGTTGACTGATAGAAGTGAAGTTTGGTGGCTCTTAAAGCTTCCATTCCGGAAGTGCACAGGCCACTTCTGCTCACATCTTGGTAGACAAAGCAGGCTCATGGTCAAGGCTGATGCCAGGGATGTGAGGAAGCACATTCTTCCCACAGGATGGGGCACTGAATACAGGGAACTGTAGGGAATGTGGTTGACTGCAAGGACTGTTTGAAGAGCTGGGTCCCTGGTCATGGTTCCATAGGCGGCATAATCATAATGATGTGGAGACTTCAAGGCTTTCAGACCTCTTGAAAAGTTGCCTAGTCACCATGCTTATTAACTGATTTTTAAAATAAGAACAAGATAATATCTTCAGAAAGAAAAGTATATCAGGCCAAATACCACCATGAGATTCACTGGTGAAATTCAGCAACTGATTCCACTTTGTGTGGATGTCTTCCCTCTTAGACTGGTTGAAGAATTCAGGCCCCCACATCTTTTACTATGAAATATAGTTATTCAGTGATAAACAATGTAAATATATACAGACTGCTGCATGGAAAAAAAGAAATTTAAAAATCCCAGTAAAATAGAAAACCATTTGTAGTGTTTTAGGGCATTTCTTTTTAAAACTCCAAGTGTATTGGTTGCATTTTTATAAAATTGTAAAGCACTGGAATTTTCAAATCTCAAATTGCAACAATTCCCTCTCCCTCTCCCTCTCTCCCTTCTCCCCATGATTCTTCCTTGCTTCTTTATGCATATTGCTGGCCTCTTCTCCTGGCTTCCAGAAATTAGTACTGTTGTTTCTCTGGCCATTCCTTCTGGAGTTCTTTCGCTGACTCTGATCTTCTGCCTGCTTCTCTCATGCTGACATTCCCCGAGGACCAGCCAGGGCCTCTCTCCTTTACCTGCTCTATATTCTGATCCTGGGGTAGCCCGACTACAACCATGGCTTCAGTTCTCTGTATCGCAGATCTGTGCACCTAGATGCATCGCAACCCCCGGTGTGCTCACGACTGTGGTCAGCTGCTAAAGCCCAGAGAATACCTGGCAGGATCCCAAAGCCTGGTTGGCAGAGGGATGGGACTGGTTTCTCCACCCCCGCCCCTAGATTCATGTATGTTTTCTTCTCTGTGTGTCCCACTCCCGAGCAGAAAGGACCAACCCTTCAGAGGTTGATAGAACCTCTCTAGTATTGATTCTGCACACACAATGATAAATAAGGATTTTTACCTATAACTGGAACCTCACGCTGACTCAGAGATGGATCAGGCACAGAGTAGCATCCTCATTTACAAGCATCTGAATGTCAAGGACGCAAAGTGACTTACCCAAGCTCACGGAGCTGAGTTGTGATTACGGAGCGGGGAAGGAAATCCAGTTCTCCCGACCTCCAAACTAAGGGCCTGCATTCATTCAACAAGTATTCCCTAAGCACCTCTTTGTGTTGCACAGAGTTAGGCTCTGGGATAGAGCAACAAAAAAAAAATGTAAGCAGTACCTGGCCTTATTCTTGTTGAAGAGATAGACAGCAAATGGCAGGAGAGATATATTCATATTATCCTGTCAGGGTGATAAATGCACCTTGGCTCACTCAGAATTTACCTACTGAACAATGTTAGTGCTGCTAATCTATTTTCCTGGGCAAAGACTCCCTCCCCTCCATTCTTTCTCCCAGAAATTTCTCATTCCACTTTCTCTGAAAGAAAGAGCCATCTTGGCTAAGGGAGCTTGAATTTCAGTGTCAATTAAATTAAGAAAACATTGCCTAGACCAATGATTTGGAACGGTGTAAATAAAACCATCATCTGTCTGTTCTGGCCACAACTGCCCTTCGTGGCTTCCAATTCTCCTGATAGGAAAATGGACCCCAGCCCAGGGCTCTGTCCACAAAAACTCCCTGAGGGAGAGAGCGTGGCCAAGCGGAATTTGGAGACCACCCCTGTGACAGAAGGACTGCCTGTCACTTTCATTGAAGTGTTTCTGCCTTTCCATCAAAACTCCAGGGAATCACAATAAGCTCAAGAGAAGTGACTGGAGTGTGATCATGCTGGGTGTGCATTGTGGCCTCTGTGGTCTGATGTTTCCGTGAGAAGTCGTGGTGCCTGGAGCATACAGTCCCGCCCCAGTCCTCAGAGGGTGGGTCAGGTGCCAACGCAGCGTAAATGGAGCAGTCATCAGCTGACTTTGCTGCTTAGGCCCCTAACAGGAACGTGTGAGGCACTGCGCTAGGGATAGGTGAGCAGGATGTAATTAAGTGGGTGCAGTGAGGAGTCCCAGAGACAGTAATATCCATCTGTGTTGGCCCAGAGGCCAACAGGGGCAGTGGGGAGGGAGGGCTGACTGGAAGTGCATGGCAGGGGATAAGAGATGGTAATCAACATGTCCAAGGCATTGCAGAAAGCACTAGGGAAGCGTAGAGAATGGGGATGGCTGGCATGTGGGTGAGATACAGGGGAGGGATACTGTGGGGTCGGCACGGGCGACGTCCAGAAGGTCCTTTCCAGTGCTGGCCTTTGTCCCGAAGGCAGTATGGAGCCACTCGAGGGGCCGAAACTGGGAGCAGCAGCTGGATCAGAGCTGTACTTAATGAGGCTTGCTCTGACGCTGGTTTGGCTTGAAGATTAACATACTGAATGAGAGAAGGAAGCATTCGGCACATTTTTATTAAAGGTCAATGTGATTTGTTTAACCAAGCTTGCAACGAGGAGCACATGGGGTATTCCAGTGTGCTGCTATTATTGTCTTTTATTTTATCCAGGGCAGCAGGGAGGAGGGAAGGAGGGAGGCAGTAGAATGAGGGGCTTCCAGGCATGACTGAAGTAATGAAAAAGAACATTTATGTTTCCCAGAAACTATAGCCAGACTCTGGGTTGCAGCCACACTGATGGAAAGGGCTGTGGGTGGGTATGGGCTCCACGTTGCCTCCAGGATGAGGCCCAGACTCTGAACAGCACTGAGAAGGACCTTCTGGATGTGGGCGGGTGGTGCTGACCCCACCAGCCTCATGTCCCACTGTCTCCCTCCCCTGCATCCGTACCTCTCCTTGCAGCTTGCCCACCGTCTAGCCACCCTCAGGTATATACCACTCTCTACGCTTCCTCCATTTCTCCAGCATGGCTCTGTCTGCACTGCCCTTGACATTTCACTCCCTGCCTGCAGCAGCATCTGTCAGATGGTGGGGCAACCTCTCTAGGCTTCCGTCCACACCATTAGCTCTAATATGTGCTGCTAACCACTGTAGCCACACCCCAAGACATCAGGGTGAGGCTGCTTGTCCCATTTCTGTCCCTGTGTGGCACTGTCATATTTCTAGATCAAACACAGCAGTACCCTCGTTGCTGAGGTCAGTGTCCTCATGACTCAGCACTGTGCCCCCAAAGCTGCCAAGAAATAAGTGTTCCAGACTTTAGGTATTGGGATTAGGAACAGGACGACTTCATGCATTTTCCTTTTTCCCCATGGGAGCTTACTTGGTGTATTTGATGGGGTCTAAGTAAAGGAAATGGATGAAACCCAAACTTTTCAGCCTCAGTGCCAAGACTCTAGGGCTAACAGGCCAGGAGGTAATCATTACCCACAGACTATCTCGTCCATACAGCAGTCCGCAGAAAACCGTTGTCTCTTTACAGATTGGGGTTAGTGTCCAGGCAGTGGAGACAGGAAGGAGGCTGAACAGTAATGCAGTGGAAGGCAGATTATCTTCTCAAAACTTCACCCAATCTATCCATATGTAAGAATGGCAATGATCTGGCCAGTGCCGCGGCTCACTAGGCTAATCCTCTGCCTGCAGCACTGGCACCCCGGGTTCTAGTCCTGGTTGGGGTGCCAGATTCTGTCCCGGTTGCTCCTCTTCCAGTCCAGTTCTCTGCTGTGGCCCGGGAGGGCAGTGAAGGATGGCCCAAGTCCTTGGGCCCTGCACCCGCATGGGAGACCAGGAGGAAGCACCTGGCTCCGGGCTTCGGATTGGTGCAGTGTGCCGGCCACAGCATGCCAGCTGTAGTGGCCATTTGGGGGGGTGAACCAATGGAAAAGGAAGACCTTTCTCTCTGTCTCTCTCTCTCACTGTCTAACTCTGCCTGTCAAAAAAAAAAATGGCAACGATCTAGAAATGGTTATGGTTGTTTTGGAGGGGAGTTCAGACGCCACAGGGGTAACTAATACCTCTACTTGTTGTAAGGCTGTTAGAAGGGAATGATGGCAGAAGTTAAATGTTCTCATGAGTAGTTTTACAGAGTTTGTCTAGCTACCTATACTAATGTCTTCGATCTATCTATCATCTGTCACACGAGAAAACAGCTTATATGAATGTACTTCAAAAGTTTGTGTAAAAATGGAATTAATAGATAAACTTAATTTAGTGCAGAGAGTTTTTGAATCCATGGGTAATTTTTATGATAATTTACATTTCAATGAACTTTTTGAAGATCTCTTATAGAGGGCAAAACCTTGGCCTTCAAGTGGGAATCTTAGTTCAAGTCTAGGTTCTAACTATGGCTTTGAAGTTTCTTCACTGGGAAGTCATGTAGCCTCTTAGTTGGGGCACCAGACGATTCTGGATAATTACTAAAAACATTCTATGGATCAAAAGTCTTTCTCAACATAAACAAGCCTGGGTGGCTAAATTTCTCTTAGGTCAAATGTTTGGTAGAGCAGTGCTGTAATGGTTTATGTTTTGGTGGCATCTTTAGTGCTTAGGAAGATTGCTTGAAAAATCAATACATGCAGAATATTCGTGAAGTGT